ATTCAGGCCAAAGGGTGTCAATCCAGAGCAAGACATGGCAAAAAAAAAAAAAATACCTTCACTTAGGGGAACTTGGCTGTTAATCCAAAAAAGATGTTGGCTTTGTGTAGCATTAAAAATGGTTTTATCAGATAATATTACAGAAATATATCTGATAAAAATTGTTTTAGTAGATAGCAATGTAAATGCAACATGGATGCTGAACCACGGTAACTACAACCTGTGCCCGATAGGCCACCCACGATAAGCTCAGTCCTTGGATTGCAGAAGTCTTCAGTGTTCATTGGCTAAGCTGTAACTGGACGCTTTCTTGGATTAAAAACAACAACAACAACAAAAAAAACTTCTTATCCTTGAAATAATGTAGCCCCCTAGGAAATTTCCATCCAAACTTTTTGAACATATGCATACACCTCAATCCAAATCCAATGAGGAGAAAGGGAGAGTGGTTCCTGTAGTACATGATAGAGTTCCTAGGTTGTGCAAATGTTTGAGAGAATGGCTGCTAACTGAAAAGTTGGCAGTTCAGATCTACCAGAGGTGCCTCGGAAAAAAGGCCTGGTGACCTGATTCTGAGAAATCAGCCATTGAAAACTCTATGGATCACAGTTCTGTTCTGGCACACGTGGGTTTGCCATGAGTTAGAATCAATGGCAACTTTTGTTGTTGTTTTTAATAAGGTAGCCCTCATGGTTGAAGGTGTGTCGTAGTCATCTAGTGCTGCTGTAACAGAAATGCCACAAGTGGATGCTTTAACAAAGACAAGTTTATTCTCTCACAGTCCAGTAGGCTACAAGTCCAAATTCAGGGCATCAGCTCCAGGAGAAGGCTTTCTCTCTCTGTCGGCTCTGGAGGAAGGTCCTTGTGATGCATCAGTCTTCCCTTGGTCTGGGAGCTTCTCTGCACAGGAACCTCAGGTCCAAAGGACATGCTCTGCTCCTGGCACTGCTTTCTTGGTGGCGTGAGGTTCCCATGTGTCTCTGCTTGCTTCTCTCTCTTATATCTCAAAAGAGATTGTCTTAAGACACTATCCAGTCTTGTAGACCTCATCAGTTTAACTGCAGCTAATCCATCTTATTAGATCATAGTGACTGAATTTACAACATAAGGAAATCACATCAGATTACAAAATGGTACACGATTATACAATACTGGGAATCATGACCCAGCCAAGTTGACAGATATTTTTTGGGGACACAATTCAATCCATGACAAGGTGTTTTCATTTTGTTTTTATTTTTTATTATAAAAAGGCTGGATGTTGTTTTTTTTCTTTTCCAAGCTCTGCAGAGGGGGGAGCATGGTCTTTAATGAAGTTCTCGGTTTATTAAAATTCTGTTATGGCAAAATCATTCAGGTGTGTCCTGTAGTTCATCATTGACATATAGTCATTTTATTTCAGTTTCTGCTCTTTCCAGAAATGATTTTGGCATTTAGTATCTCTCTTGTTTAATCTCTCTTAATTTGGCAGTTTCTTTTTTTACATAAAAAATAATCTACATCGACATTTGTGCCTGGGTTATTCATTTTTCTTACAGACTTCTGTTATCCTACGGAGCATGAACTAATTTCAGCATTTACTATTCTCTATATTGCATAATTGTAGGAACAAAATCATCTTTCTTTTCATTTTATCACCTTGAAGTATGTGACTGGTATTGCCTACTGTGACACTGCTTCCAAAAATAAATATATTTGCGGCTCCCTACAAAAGCGATCTTAACAGATCTTACAATGCTAAATTTATTTGTCTATTACGTAGTGGGTATTTGGGTCCCTGAAGCCTTACGATGTTCCTCTACTGCCTTCACCACTAGTTTAAAAGATTAGGATAAATTCTTATCTATCCTACTGAGATTCCCTCAGGGGATATCAGGTACCTTATTTCACAAGAACTTGGGTAATCTTCAGCATTCATTCATTCAGTCAGCAAACGTTTACTGAATGTTGACGATGTGCCCGGCACTTTTCTAGATGCAGGGGATATTGTGAACAAAATGACTGTCTTCAATGGTGCTTACATTCTAGTGGGGGAGGCAGATACTACACAAGAAAAGTCAGACATGTAGGAGGTTATATTGTGGTAAAGACCAAGAGGAACTTAAGCAAGGAAGAGAGTTTTAAAAAGTTACAGGGCTTTATTGACATTTTAGATTGGGTGGCCAGAGAAAGCCGTAGTGTACATCTCGGGGGGAAAGCATTCTAGTCAGAGGGAATAACGTGCAAAGGCCCCGAGGTGGGAATGTGCCTGGTGTGTCTGAGGAACAGCAAGGAGACCTGTGTGGCAGGAGCAGAGTGGAGGCAGGGAAGCTCACCTCTGCTCCTCCACCGTCTGCCCACCCACCACATTACACAGTTCCTTGCAGATAGTAACATTTAACATTCAAATAGTCACTAAGTGAATTAATGGAATTGGATTTCAGAACTTTCAGAGGTAAAATAATAGTGACTAGTTGGCTGTGTGAGGAGACGGAGAACAGTCTGATGACTCCACAGATAAGTGTGGGAGTAGGGGCGCTAAGTGTCTAGTGGGGAAAAAAGTGGTTTGGGGTGGGGGAGGAATAAAACTGGGTAGGTTTTGTCCCCGGACACCCTTTTACCTCAGTAATGAAGTCCCCCCGTGAGGGTCACCCTTCAGCCAAAGATTAGACCCATAAAATGAGACTAAATGCCCAGGGACAAGGACGACATGGCAGGAGGGGACAGGAAAGCTAGTAATAGGAAACCCAAAGTCGAGAATGGGAGAGTGTTGATGTGTCGTGGGGTTAACCATTGTCACAAAACAATATGTGTATTGTTTAATGAGAAACAAGTTTGCTCTGTAAACCTTCATCTAAAGTACAATAAAAAATTTAAAAAAAAAAAAAACCGAGTAGGTTTTGAGATGGAAATGTTGACTAGGCAGTTTGGATGCACAAGCTGCTGCTTATAAGAGTTCTAGGTAGGAGAGCGAGCTGGAAGGTGATGGTTGGTTATGGCTGATAGGATCATCTGGGGATATGGCCTCGGACAAGATCTGGTGTGGAAATGCAGGGCGATTGGTTAACTCACCCCATAGATAGGATCTCAGGGCTTGTGGTAGAGGATAAATGGAAGGTAAAGAAAAGCAGAAGCTGGGCATAATGCTAGGGCTATATTGACAATGGGGTCCCCTGGGTGGTGCAGTTAGTGCACTCAGCTGCTAATTGAAAGGTTAGAGGTTCAAGTCTACCCAGAGGTGCCTTGGAAGAAAGAACTGGTGATCTGCTTCCAAAAAATCAGCCATTGATGGCAGCTCATGTACAACAAAATGCCTCATGGGATTTATTTATTTGTTTCTTTTTTTTTTTTTAGGTTTAGATGTTTAGGGTCATGATCTCATGGGACAGCTCAGTCAATTTGACCTAACACACATATCCTGGACTTACGATGGGGTTCTGTTACTATAACTCCATCATAAGTCAGTTCTGACGTAAATCAAATACCTAATTTTTTTTGTAGTTTTCCGTATTGCCTTTTATAATCAGTATCTTTGTAAATCCGATCTTTACGTGTCTTTAGGAGTTGGCACGAGAATAACATCAGCAAATTATGCGCTGCAATGTTGTATGTAGTACATATTACGAACCATAAGATGTACAAAAAAACCCCAGATAGTTGTAAGTACATTTCATTATACTTCATAAGTCAAGGACTACCTATACTGTTTTGCAGGGCTTCTGTTCTACTGAGGGGTCTTAAAAGCCTGCAGGCAGCTATCCAAACTATAACAATAGGTCTCCATTCATCTGGAGTAGTAGTGGGAAGGAGAGTCAGGAATCGGAGGATGAAATGTTGCTTCCATGAACATCTGCCTTCTGTGCCGTGAGACCAGAACTGGATGGTGCCTGGATATCATTACAGAACATTTTGATCAAAGATTCTGTAGAAGAATGTTGATCAAAAGAGGGAAAATACAAGAACAGAATTTTAAATTCTCAGCGTAATCCAGACTGTCTAGAGTCATTGAAGCTGGATGAACACCTGATAGTATTGCCCTGAAATAATCTTTAAACCTTAAACCTCAAACCAAAACTTTTCCCAAAAGTACGCTTTGTACCAAACAGCACTTTAACCTGATTAGTAAAGTATGTCTGCCTTAAGCATTGAGCTAGCAAAGATTTATCTATGTGAAATCAAATTGACAACAGCATCTTGAAAAGTTAGATGAGAAACTTAGGGGCAGTGGCTTTATATCAATGGTGGCGGAATAATTTGGAAAACGATAGCAAGAACAGTTATACAACTTGAAGAATGCAAAAAATGTCACTGAATTGTACATGTAGAATCTGTTGAAACTGTGTATACTTTGCTGTGTGTATTTTCACAAAAAATAAGATACAATTTATTTAAAAAAAAAAAAAACCCTATGGAGCACAATTCTACTCTGACACACATGGGTTCACCATGAGTTGGAATCAACTCAATGGTAACTAGTTTATATTGACGGTGTTGCCATCGATAATATTAGAAGTGCCTAGATAGACAGAGGGCATGCTTGGGGAGAAAATGAGCACCTGAATAGAAATATTTAGTAATATGCTAGATTGAAATGGAAATATATATTTAAACTTCAGACGCTGAGGCTATAAAATCACTTTAGCAAGTGAGGAGCTAAGATCTCATTTATGAAGTGGCCCTCAGTACAGAGCTGAGACTCTGTCACATGAGAGTTGGGGTCCTACCAGCAGGTGGCGCACTCATTGGTGTGATCTGGTGAGCTTTGAGCCGCCCATTGGCCTGGAAGCATGGCAGCCTTGTCATCTAGCCCAGAACCCTGGGAATGTTGCTTTTGAAGCCAGCGTTCCTGCTTTTCATTTGTGGCAGGCTGTAGCTGGCTAAGCATAGAGTTTCTAGATGTGACTGAGCTCATCAAAGGGGTGCTTGTTCTCAGTGTCCTCTTTCAGGCAGCAGTAGACTCAGGGCTTTGATACTTGTATGCTTCTTTGTCAAAGTGCGAAATGATAAGTAATTACTAACAGGTAGGGGACAAGTGTCACTTGCTGCTCATCAAGGTTACATATTAATTAGTGAAAAGACCCAGTGTGGGTCAGAGGAAGGTGCGCGTGGTCACCAATGTACCATCTTTGCTTTAGATGTATCAGATAGTGGTTTCGTGACGTCGAAACAGTCAAAACTGGACGACGATGATGCGCCGGGATCCCTTTCCTCAATGGCAGAGGAAAAAGACGTGGCAGGTAACACTGTGTCCCCACCCGCAGTTCAAGGAGGAGTTTGACAAATGTCCAAGCACTAAGTGTACCAGACTGAATTACCAGGGACTTACGGTTTTAGATCAGAGTAGCTGCAGGCCTCTAAAAACTAAGGATTCTGTCCTTCCAAGGATAAGTCAATTGTTGCACAAGGTACAGATTAAAGCAAGCATCATCTCCTAGCATTTTGGTTTCTGCCTCTTAATTTTTCTTTGTGGCAGTCTTCATATTCTGAGGGCATTTTAAGTGGCAGGTCTCTGATTTAGTTGAGAGTGACAAATTAATTTTTGTGTTATACTACCTGGGCCAGTGAAGAAGAATGATGTGAAATGTTCACATACATGGGGCTGGCCTTCTGAATGAAGGGTGCCACTATATTTTGAGACAGAGAGCTCCAAAAAGGCAAACTTGGAAGCTGTGGTAGCCTTAGAAGGCAGTGGTTAAGAGCCAGACAGCCTGGGTTCAAATCCTGAAGCTGCTGGTGTGACCTGATGCACATTATGGCATCTCTCGGTTAACTGTGGGTGAGAACATGCCTGTTTCACATGATTTTTATGAAGATTACAGGAGTTGATACGTGTAAATCCCTTAGAACAACAGTACAGGAGGCTAGTTAAACCATTGTAAGGCTGGCGCCGACCAAGACGTGTTGCCCCATAGAAACGCCTTACCTCTTACGTCCTCCTTAAAGCCTCTTCCAACAGTATATTGATATGATACTGTGCGCATATAATTATCAAGTTAAACAAAAAAATCCATAACCCCACCGCTTAAGAGAGGCCCACTACCATTATTTTTAAAAGTAAGAGATGAATATGGAAAATTTAACAAAATAAAAAGACCTCTTTGTCTGCTTCCCATGGTCCATTTCAAAAAAAAAAATAATTACTGTCAAGAAAACAAAAACAACAAAACCTGACACCTCAGCCTCCTTCTTAGACATGACCCCAGTTGCTCTGGTCGAAAGTACTGGGTAGTTCCCAGAAGGTTGAAGTGATCGCTTGCCGGTGAGAAGCAGCCTGACTCGCCCCATGTGGACTCTTGCCCAGTCTGGCTTCCCGTGGACCTCGCCAGAGTGTAGTAGCAGTGGGGCTTAAACATGGTTTACATTTGTGCTGTGGACTGACTGTTCCACCCTTTGGGCGCATGATGGACTGGGCAGACTTATGTGTGAAGACTTACGTTTTATTTTCGTTGTTTAGAAGGGATTTCTGTTCCATCTTTAGAAGTTTTGCCAGAGAACTTGGATGGTTCTGCTATCATCTCAACCTTTGAAAACATCATCAAAGATCTGAAAAAGAAATACGAGGTAATGTTCTACTAAAACTAGAGAAGTAGCTTGTTATGAATTTCAAGGGACAAGTTCATAGTATTCGTTAATACTGTTGTTATCCTTCATGTGTGAAGGTCTCCAGCCTTTTGGCGATGCGTCTTTGTCGTAGCTGTGGTCATTAATTTTAGTTCCTTTGTATCATGTACAGGTCCCTTGGTGGCACAAATGGTTTGCGCTCGACTGCTAACCGGAAGGTTGGTGGTTTGAACCCACCCTGCTGTGCCATGGAAGAAAGGCCTGGCAGTCTGCTTCCATAAAGATCATAGCCTAGAAAACCCTATGGAGCCCAGCTCTACTCTGTAACACATGGGGTCACCAAACCAAAACCAAAACCAAACCCGTTGCCGTCGAGTCGATTCCGACTCATAGTGACCCTAGAGTTGGAATTTACTCAACAGCGATGGGTTTTGGTTTCAGTAATGGATGGTTTGGGTTTATGAGACAGCGTCCCCATGTCCGTTTGCTACAGCGGTACCAAGTGGACCTATATGGAAGCCAGACTCACAGTTTGGATGTATTGGTAATATTCTCCGACAGCGGAACTACCAGGAAGCAAAGATTTGGTCACATGATAAACGAGGAGAGGAAAATGAGAGAAGTGTGTGGACAAGACAGGGTCTGGGATGAAGATGGAGGTAGACCGTAGCTGGGTTTCTGCCGAATGGTTGCATATCTTTGAGGTACCGCACCTATAGGATGCCCCAATACCTTGTTTGCAAGATGAATTTCAGAACTATACTAGTCTCATCCTTTTTGTCCCATGATTTATAAATCCCTAATGGGTTATCAGGAGCCCTGGTGGTACAGTGGTTAAGCGTTTGGCTGCTAACCAAAAGGTTGCCAATTTGAATCCACCAGCTGTTCCTTGGAAACCCTATGGGGCAGCTCTACTCTGTCCTATAGGTGAGTTGGAATAGACTTGAAGGCAGTGGGTTTGGTTTTGGTTTTTGGTGATGAGTTATCATTAGCACATTTGAGGTGAGTATCTTATCCTAACCAACATTCATTTAACTAAATTGGAAGATCCTCAAAGTCGTCTTTATTATCTGCAGTACCAATGAGAGCCAATTTGTAATGGAAATTTGTTCCTATTTGTTCATACGTAGTCTATACATGTACTAATAACGTGAATATGAGTCCCTGTTTTAGCTTGTTCTTTATTGCTCTGAACCTGAGTTAACATGTGAAAGGTGTGTAGCACATTGCCCCATCGCAGTTCAGCAGTGCTTGCTCTCAACGGCGTCACACGCTGGCGGCTGTTTTTAATACAGAGCACACACTCACTTCTGTAGTTGTGTTTAACCCGACGTGATCATTTTGTTAACAACTGTTGTTGTGGTTTAGCTTCGGCACAGAAAGAGTCAACTTTCTTCAGAAAGTGGAACCAAAGCTCCGGATTGCCTAACAAAACTGTTACAGCAGATACATCAGTGCAGGTAAGCATTAGACTTAGAAACAAGTTCACGTAGTTTCGATCACTTACCAACAACATTTGTCTCATGACCACCGTGCTGGAGCCATGAAGAGCCAAAGCGTGTAGCAGATGTGATGTATCACTTACCCCATCTGGGTTTCTAGTTCTTTATCCATAAAATGAAGAGTTGAACTAAATGATCTCCATTTATACATATGGAGTTCCTAGGTGGTACAGATGTTAACATGCTTGGCTGCTAACCAAAAAGTTGGAAGTTTGAGTCCACCTAGAGGTGCCTCAGAAGAAAGACCTGGTGATCTGCTTCTGAAAAATCAGCTGTTGAAAACCCTGTGGAGCACAGTTGTACTCTGACGCATGGGGTTGCCATGAGTCAGAGTGTACTCAACAGCAACTGGTTACAAGGTTATGGGCTCTCTGCTTCTCTCTGTGTGTATATGTATGTGTATGGGTGCGTGTCTATATAAGGAGCCCTGGTGGTGCAGTGGGTAAGCTCTCAGCTGCTAACCAAAAGGTTGGCGGTTTGAATCCACCAGTGGCTCCATAGGAGAAAAGACCCGATGATCTGCTCTTGTAAAGATTATAGCCTAGGAAACCCTACAGGGCGGTTTTACTCTGTCCTGTAGGGTCACTATGAGTCAGCATCGACTTGGTGGCACACAGCAACAGCAACATATGTATAAATTTATGTTCATATGTGTATAAATGTCACACACCTATATGACCATGTAGGAACGTGCAAAGGGGCCAAGCTTTCAGAGGGATGTGAAGGGTGGAGATTGGAGTGGAGGCGTGGGTATCTGTAGGGATTTGACTCATGCAGAGGGATTGCAATGTAAGTGCTTCTTGAGTGAGTTTTGGGAAAAGAGAGTTTAAGGCATGGAGGGACTTCACAAATGTAAGGTGAGCACAGAGGTTGTTCCTCGTTGGGGAGAACAGCCTGTAAATGATGGAGGGAAGAAAAAGTTGGCAGGTTGATGTGCGTAACTGAAGGAGAAAGTTTATTAGAGCAGAATACATTGTTTGAATAGACATGTATAATGTTTTCAGATTGGCGGTGCAGTGGTTAAGAGCTTGGCTGCTAACCAAAAGGTCGGCAGTTCAAATCCACCAGCCACTCCCTGGAAACCCCGTGGGACAGTTGTACTGTGTGTGGTAGGGTCGCTATGAGTCGGAATCGACTCAACTGCAACAGGTGTTTTATACATGCAGTGTCATTTGATTCTCAGAACATTCCTGTGAAGGACATTGGACTTGTGGAATTCCCCTTACCTTTTAAAAAAACAGTTGCCATCAAGTTGACTCCAACTCCTGGCAACCCGATGTGTATCAGAGTAGAACTGTGCTCCATAGGGTTTTCGATGGCCGATTTTTTGGAAGCAGATCACCAGGCCTTTCTTCTGAGGCACCTCTGAGGGGACTCCGTCCTCCAACCTTTTGGTTCAGTAGCGCAGAGCATTAACCATTTGCACCGCCCAGGAATTCCCCTTAACCTCTTGGGCAGTGCATGTTCATCCACTTACTCACTCAGCATGTGCACACCCAGCAGCGCTTAGGCCCTTTGAGGTTGGGAAGAGCAGCGAGAACGGCCAGACAGGCGTCTTGCCATCATGGACGTTTCAGCCTAATGGAGAAGGCAGACAATAAGGAGACAGACCATTAAGCAGATTGTATGGCAGGTGGACACATTCTAGCCACCGGGAGATATTTTAGAACTAAACTGTGGAGGTAGCTAATTCCAGACCACAGCTTTCAGGATTGGCTTAAGACAAGAGAAAGGGGAGCATGTAGAAGTGGGGAGCCAAGGAACCCCGACAGGCATGGCAGCCGCTGGCCCGGGTTAGCCTTGGTCTTCTCTTCTCTGGAGTCTTTGCTTATCCCTACCCCACCCATCTACTAAGAATAATTTTGACATACCAGCTTCCTTTGATAATGCTGTTGAAAGGCTGGATAAAAGTTTTAATAGTTAACTCTCTAGGAGTGGAGGTGGGCAGGCAGGGAGAGGAGGAAAGGGAAGGGAGACGCCTATTTGTTCTTAAAATAGGAAATGTCTGGAGAAGACTCAGGTCTCTGGGTCATAAGCAGATGTAATCAAGTGTGTCATTTTGTCACGTCCAAGCAGTCCCAATGAAATGTGTTGCTTTCACAATTCTCAGACTGAATAAACTACAACAGTTTCACAATTTTGTTCTTCGAGAGCTGAGCTACCTTGAGAAGGATATTCAGGTTCTGAAACGTCTTGAGAATGATGTTCTGGTAAGTTCTTTATGTTTGGGGTATTCTTTGTGATATAAGAGCATCTGTTCCAGGGCAGAATAACTGCTAAGTACTTTTTAAAAACAAATTTTTGTTCAATTTTAGGAATTTTGGAGGAAACAGTCTGCTGATTTGAAAGTATTCTGTGATATGTAAGTGCTGAGGTATTTTTTTAAAAGTATTTTTTCTAGAAGTATCTTAGTTGAAGTATTAGGTAATTCTTTAGTGAAAGTATGGGAGGTTGATGTTGGTAAAACTTCATGTGAGTAGCTAAACAGCTGCTGCTTTTCAAACCAGCTACTTCAATGGCCCTCCCTGAGGGAAGTGTAGCTTTTGATATCAGTCTAGAAGAGTAAATTTTAAAAAGCATAAACATGATCATCCAAACGTCAGTGTTTTTAATCCAGATTGTTTAAAAAAAATTAAAATGATTAGATATTGAGAAAAAATATTTGTTTCAGAGTAAATAGTTGATTTTCAGTTACATACTGAATTGTGGTTTCGATAGAATATGTACATATATTTTATGTGCCAGATGTGGTGGTGAAATGAGCTCCTTTATGTGGCCTTTTGCCTTGGTTCTTTGGGAAAACAGCTTGAGGGATGTTTTCCCTAAGCCCTGAGGAGCTACCTTTGCCCTAATTTTCTACCCCAGAGGGTTTGTTACTTTTGTCCAGGTTGATTGACATTTCCTGAGGAAGGTGTAAACAATTTGACTTTTTGTCTGGCCCTGGGCTGTAGCCTGCGCTGTGACTGGCGTGTACCTTGCAGGGATTGGTCAATAAACTATGCAAATGAAGTGACTATGGACTATGCAAATGAAGTATCTGTAGTCTGCTATGCAAATGAAGTGTCCTACCAAAAGGGAGTTGGTCAGTTTGTGCACCCCTCCAGGGGGCCATGCCTTGAAATTGACAATGAGTTGTGTATGTGTGTTTACGTATATGTATGTATTTATAGAGATAGAGAGCTCAGCTGCTAACTAAAAGGTCGGCAGTTTGAATCCCCCAGCCACTCCTTGGACACCCTGTGGGGCAGTTCTACTCTGTCCTATAGGGTCACTATGAGTCGGAATCGACTCCACGGCAACTGGTTCTATATATATGTATATACAGCCAACCTCACAGAGGTTTTTCCAACAGAAAACCGGAGGAGAAGCAGCAGGAGGAAGCAGAAGGAAGAAAGAAGAAAGAAAAAGCAGAGAGAAAGAGAGGAGGAAGGAAACCTCCCCGAAGAGCTGTAACACGGGTCAACGGCTCTTACACAGAAGGTGGGCAGCAGGCCCAGAAGGGGCCCAAAGGCAGAGCCAGCAGCAGCAGGCCCAGAAGGGGCAAGAGGAACCTTTCCTGAGGGGAAAGAGAGGAGCCTGTCCTGCCAAGAGGAGCTGAGAGAGAGCTTTCCTCCCTGAAGAAGGGAGACTTTGCCTACATCCTTCCTAATCTTGAGTTGTAGCCTGTTGATCCTGATCCTGAGTTGTACCCCATTCCTTCCTTAATAAACCACTTAAGTGTAAGCACAGTTGTGAGTTCTGTGAAACGTTGCAGTGAATTGCCGAACCCAAATGGAGGGAAGAGTGCCAAGGGGAAGGAGAGAGGCTGGTGTCAGAGATGGAGTGGTACGGCAGCTTGGAGAATGTGAACATCTGGGATACATTTGACCTCGGTCTCATAGGAATTGGTTTTGTGCTGATTCTTATATTTGAAGTTGTTCGTACAGATGTATAAAATACATATTTTATATGTAAAGTACATAAACACATATTTATGTATTGTTTTAAACAACAAATGGCTGGTCTTATACATTCCTTTTACTGTGTTGTAGGGAAACAACTTTGACCAAAGCTTCCTGCAACAAAGAGGTTTTTATTGTGACATCAGAAAACAAAGATGGGAAATTGTCTACAAGCACTCAGGCTATTACCAGACCAAAATCCCAAGAAGTACAATCTATAAGTGCTTTTTATACAATTTGGACAGGTGCTGATTCATTATGAGTCAGTTACAGACTATGATTGGTTAAAGTAAAGACAAATACTAAGGTCATGATTGGGTGACCTTTTCTTGTTTTTCTTTTCTAACAATTTGGTCTCTTGGCTCAGGGGTCCTGGGTCCGTCATGTGATGGTTGTTTTTTATTTGTTACGTAGGCTACATATAATATTGAGTAGATCATGAACCTGCTTTCTGGGATAGATAGTTTTTTGTATGCATGTCCACTGTCCGTTGAACCGGTTAGAGCACTCTGCCCTGCCCCTTTGATGTAGTTTTCTATTGTTCTTAAGTTTTTCAGATTCTGACAAGGTGGCCTTTTGTAGTTATGGCCTGCTGTGGTTAGGTTAACCCTTTATCAACTGTAATTAGTTAGTATGCATTCTTAGGCTGATTCTTCAATCCATTTGGGACATCATCCCATCCTTTGGAGCCTAAGAAGTGGGAAAAGGAGAATGGAGCCCTTCACCCCTGTGTTTCTGCCCTGGGAGCAATTCTAATGTTTTCTTCCTGTTGAAGTACTCAAAAGGAATCCCTGTCTATATCTGTAATTGCTAAAGCTTTATCTACCAGTTGAGAGCAATTTTCTATCACAGAAATCTTTGTCAAATGGGTTTTAAGAGGGATATTTTTCTGATCACATCATTTATTTCAAAGCAAAAAATATATATATTTTTAAAATTGAGTTAGCCATTCTATTGTTTACTCCAGTTAGCACCTTAATAACAGTGCCCATATGGACCATCGAGTTTTCAAAATTTTTTAACAGACAAGTCTCCTTCCATGTACCATTTATACATGACTAAAGGTGATTACCCTTTGAAAATGTCTTCATTGAATTCCCATGGTTTGTTGTGTTTCTCAAACTTCTTGGAACAGGATTCCTTTATATATTTAAATTTTTTTGAGGATCCCAAAGGAGCTTTTTCTTTGTGAGCTATATCTATGAATATTTTCCATATTTAAAATTAAGGCTGAAATTTAAAAAATATATATTTTAAATAACAGCAATAAACTCTTTACATATTGATATAAATAACAGACTTTTATGAAAAATTTACTTTTCAAAACCAGAGATGTGAGAATAGCCTTATTTTATGATGTTGCAAATTTCTTTGATGTGTGCCTTTGTAGAAGACAGCTGGATTCTTGCATCTGCTTTTGAGTTCAATCTGTTGTCATATCGTGTAGACTCTGGGAAATTTCATGGTACATTCATGAGAGAGTAAGAATAAAAAAGCAAATAATGTCTTAGTATTATCTAAACAGTTTTGACCTCACAGAAACTTTGGAAGGTTAGGTTCCTTAAGGGGTCCCCAGACCACTTTGAGAACTGCTGATATAAAGCTATAGTGTCCATACACCTCCTGGGACTGAGATACTGGGCTTGAGGGCCAGCGACCATAGTGTCAGGGAACATCTAGGTCAATTGGCATATCATAATCCATATAGACAGTGTTCTACATCCTACCTTAGGGAGTAGTGACTAGGGTCTTAAATGCTTGCAAGCGGCCATATAAGATACAACAATTGGTCTCTTCCCATCTGGAGCAAAGAAGAGTGAAGAAAACCAAAGACTCAAGGAAACAATCATGCCAGAGGACTAATGGACCACATGAACCATGGCCTCCACTAGCCTGAGACCAGAGAACTAGATGGTGTCCAGCTACCACTACCAACCACTCTGACTGGGACCACACTACTAAGTCATTGACAGAGTAGGAAAGAAATGTAGAATAAAATTCAGACTCATAAATAAGACCAGACTTACTGGTCTAACAGAGACTGGTGAAACCCCTGAGACTATGGCCCTTAGACACCCTTCCAACCTGGAAGCATTATAGCAAAGGAAAATGAAGAACACCAAAGGCACAAGGAAAATATTAGCCCAAGGGACAAAAGGGCCACATGAGACTCCCATCAGCCTGAGATCAGAACTAGATGGTGCCTGGCTACCACCAATGACTGCCCTGACAGAGAACAGAGAGTCCCAGATAGCGCAGGAGAAAAGTGCAGAGTGGACTCAAACTCATGTAAAAAGACTAGACTTAACTGTCTGACAGCAACTGGAGGAACCCCCGAAACATTGACCCCCGGACACTCTGTTAACCCAGAACTAAAACCATTCCCGAAGCCCACTCTTCAGACAAGGTTCAGACTGGACTATAAAACAAAAAATAATCTTAGTGAGGAGTGTGCTTCTTAGTTCAAGCAGATACATGAGACCAAATGGGCAGCTCCTGTCTGGAGGCAAATGAGAAGTCAGGAAGGGACAGGAACTGGTCGAATGGACACAGGGAACCTGGGGTGGAAAGGGGGAGTGTGCTGTCACATTGGGATTGCAACTAATGTTACATAACAATACGTGTATAAATTTTTGTATGAGAAATCAACTTGAGCTGTAAACTTTCACCTAAAGCATAGTTTAAAAGAAAGAAAAGAAATAGACAAAGCAAAGCAAACAAACAAAAAAAACTTGGAACTTAAATCAGAGAGATCATATTGTAGCCAGCCATACAATAGACAGGCCTATAAAATGAACAACACCAGTGAGGAATGTATACCTCAGAACAATCAACTATATGAGACCTAAAGGGCAGCATTTGCCCAAAAGCAAAGTTCAGAAGGACAGTAGGAGCAGGAAAGTTGGGCGAATGGACACGGGGAACCCACAGAATAACACGGGAGAGTGCTGATGTATTCAGGTGTCATGGATTGAATTGTGTCCCCCAGAAGTATGTGTCAACTTGCCTAGGCCATGATTCCCAGTACTGTGTGATTGTCCACCATTTTATCATCTGATGTGATTTTCGTTTGTGTTGTGAATCCTACCTCTATGAGGCAGTTATGTTAATGAGGCAAGACAATCTACAAGATTAATCAAGCTCTTTTGAGATATAAAAGAGAGAAGCAAACAGACAGGAGGATCTCATAGCACCAAGGAAGCAGTGCCAGGAGAATAGCACATCCTTTGGACCCTGGGGTCCCTGCACTGAGAAGCTCCTAGACCAAGGGAAGATTGATGACAAGGACCTTTCCCTAGAGCCGACAGAGAGAGAAAGCCTTCCCCTGGAGCTGGCACCCTGAATTTAGACTTGTAGCCTACTAGACTGTGAGAGAATAAATTTCTCTTTGTTAAAGCCATCCACTTGTGGTATTTCTGTTAGAGCAGTACTAGATGACTAAGACACAGGGGTTTGCAACCAGTGTCACAAAACAAGCTGTGTGTAAATTGTTGAATGGGAAACTAATTTTCTCTGTAAATGTTCACCTGTACCACAATAAAATGTTCCATAAAAAAAAAAAAAGGCAGTACAGTATTACACATGAGAGAAGATTGTATCTCTTGGTCTTCTGAAACCTGGAAAATTCCATTATTTTGTGAGTGATTAAACCCCAAATTTTAGTGATCTGTTCAGTTTCTGCAGATTAACACTGTAGAATTAATTACTTTTTGCATTCATCTCCCCTGAATCAAGCCTCTGTGTGAATTTAAAATACCTCAGATAACAGCCATCTTTTCTAAATATTAATCTCTTAGAATTTTGTGTTTACCCTTCTCTCTTCAAACACACCTAAGAGCATCATTACCCTGACTTGCAGATGAGGGACGATGGTTATGCTCTTAGCTAATGCTGAGTGTGTTATTAGCTAATGCTGATCGCTTACCATGTGCCAGGCTTGGAATAAGTGCTTTATATGTAACAGCCCTGTGAGGCTCAGAGAGGTTAATAACACTTGGTCAAGGTCACACAGCTGTCAAGTG